GACCCAGAGGTGTGGCTTCACCCAGAGGTGTTGCCTGACCCAGAGGTGTTGCTTGACCCAGAGGTGTTGCCTGACCCAGAGGTGTGGCTTGACCCAGAGGTGTGGCTTGACCCAGAGATGTTGCTTGACCCAGAGGTGTGGCTTGACCCAGAGGTGTTGCTTGACCCAGAGGTGTTGCTTGACCCAGAGGTGTTGCTTGACCCAGAGGTGTTGCTTGGCCCAGAGGTGTGGCTTGACCCAGAGGTGTTGCTTGACCCAGAGGTGTGGCTTGACCCAGAGGTGTTGCTTGACCCAGAGGTGTGGCTTGACCCAGAGGTGTTGCTTGACCCAGAGGTGTGGCTTGACCCAGAGGTGTGGCTTGACCGCCCGTGTGGTTAGTGTCTCAGTTACTGTGGATTATTCTTATTGTTATTATCATGGTTTATAATTCTTATTATTATCATGGTTTATAATTCTTATTATTATCATGGTTTATAATTCTTATTATTATCATGGTTTATAATTCTTATTATTATCATGGTTTATAATTCTTATTATTATCATGGTTTATAATTCTTATTATTATCATGGTTTATAATTCTTATTATTATCATGGTTTATAATTCTTATTATTATCATGGTTTATAATTCTTATTATTATCATGGTTTATAATTCTTATTATTATCATGGTTTATAATTCTGGTTTATAAATATTGTTGTTTATATTTTTCAGGAAGTGACCAGCGCTGAACGACGCTACAAATTGAGGTCAGTTACATCCCCTATATTATTATATTATTCATGGGGAGCGCTAAACCTGTAGGGGTCAGCGCCAGAAGAAGGGGAGGCAGTCAGGTTCGAGCCAAGGAAAGGAAGGGTGGTTGCAAATATCAACAAACCTGTGTAGAACATCCTGGCAACGTTTATGGGTGATTTCCCTGGCCAAGCCTTAAGTCACGTGACTCCTCGCACATAGGCGGCCCCTCACTGTCTTAGATTCTACCAGGCAAAGGAGACAGGTAGACGTGATAGTGTCATAAGAACATAAGAAGGAACACTGCGCAGGCCTACTGGCCCATGCGAGGCAGGTCCAAGTCTCCTACCAGCTTAACCCAATGCCCCAACCTAGTCAGGTCAGGTCACATTCACCCAAGGAAGATGGCAACTGACCTAGTAGTACAAGCTAATCAGCTCCAACTCACGCCCACCCACACCCACTCATGTATTTATCTAACCTACCTTTAAAACTACACAACGTTTTAGCCTCTATAACTGTATTCGGGAGTTTGTTCCACTCATCCACAACTCTATTACCAAACCAGTGCTTTCCTATATCCTTCCTGAATCTGAATTTATCCAACTTAAAACCATTGCTACGAGTCCTGTCTAGGCTAGATATTTTCAGCACGTTATTTACATCCCCTTTATTTATTCCTGTCTTCCATTTATACACCTCAATCATATCCCCCCTGGTTCTACGCCTTTCTAGAGAGTGCAGATTCCGAGCCCTCAGTCTATCCTCATAGGGAAGATTTCTGATACATGGGATCATCTTTGTCATCCTCCTCTGTACGTTTTCCAGAGCATTTATATCCATTCTGTAATACGGTGACCAAAACTGTGCAGCATAATCTAAATGAGGCCTAACCAAGGATATATAGAGTTGAAGAACAACCCGAGGACTCCTATTATTTATGCTTCTTGCTATGAAGCCAAGGATTCTGTTAGCTTTATTGCGAACACTTATGCACTGTTGTCTTGGTTTCAGATTACTGCTAACCAGAACTCCTAAATCTTTTTCGCAATCCGTAATATTAAGATCTACATTATTTAGTTTATATGTGGCATGGTTATTTTCCTGTCCAACACTTAGAACTTTGCATTTGTCAATATTAAACCATACCCCCGGCCGGGATTGAACCCGCGGTCATAGTCTCAAAACTCTAGAGTTCGTCACGGCCACGCTAGCTGGAGATTCGTCTGTAAAAACTTGCATTTGTGGTCACAGAGGTGCCTGTGCTAACCTTCCTATGGTGTAGAAATACACCTAGTTGGATGAATCTTATTGTGGCTAGCTGGTCTAGTGGCTAACGCGACGGGCTGGAGTTTTGAGACTCTATGACCGCGGGTTCAATCCCGGCCGGGGGTATGGTTTATTTGCAATCGTGTCATTACGATTTCTTAAGTCAATATTAAACTGCATCTGCCACTTCTCCGACCACTGCATCAGTCTATTCAAATCATCCTGGAGTGCTCTAATGTCCTCGTCAGAATGAATTCGACGGCCTATTTTGTTGTCATCGGCAAACTTGCTTATGTCGCTCTTTATGCCCTCATCAATGTCGTTTATGTAGATTGTGAACAACAGGGGGCCCAACACTGACCCCTGTGGAACACCGCTCATGACGCTTCCCCACTCTGATTTCTCCCCATTTATGCAAACTCTCTGCTGCCTATTTGTCAACCATGCCTCTATCCAGGAAAAATATTCTCCTCCTATTCCATGTGCCTTAATTTTGCTCAATAGTCTCTGATGTGGGACCCTGTCAAAAGCCTTACTGAAGTCCATATACACAATATCATATTCATTACCATGATCTACCTCCTCAAACACCTTAGTGAAAAAAGTTAATAAATTCGTAAGGCAGGAACTCCCCTTTGTAAAACCATGCTGAGATTCGTTGATTAATTTATGCTTTTCAAGGTGACTACGAACTGCTTCAGCAATTATTGATTCCATAAATTTTCCCACTATAGAGGTTAGGCTTATTGGTCTATAGTTCGAAGCTAAGGACCTGTCACCTGCTTTGAAAATAGGTATCACATTTGCTATTTTTCACTTATCTGGCACCATGCCAGTCTGTAGTGATATGTTGAAAAGATTAGCCAATGGTTTGCTAAGCTCCTCTTTACATTCCTTTAGAACCCTTGCATACAGTTCATCAGGGTCTGGGGATTTGTTAGGTTTTAATTTATCTATTTGTCTAAGGACCATGTCACTTGTGACCCTAATCGTGCACAGTTTATCATCATCCTGTTCTACATAATTTATTATTTCTGGAATATCGCTATTATCTTCCTGTGTAAAAACTGAGAGGAAGTATGTTAAAAATTCTACACATTTCCTTATCACTGTCATTGAGCTGACCCGAGGAACTTTTGAGTGGGCCTATCTTGTCGCTGATCTTACTTCTGTATACCTGAAAGAATCCTTTTGGGTTAGTCTTCGGATCTCTTGCAACTTTAACCTCATAATCTCTTTTTGTTTTTCTTATTCCCTTTTGTATTTCTCTCTTTAACTGAATATATTGATTTCTTAATTGCACCTCTCCTCTTTTGATTTGCCTATATATGCCTCTCTTTTGACCAATGAGATGTTTTAATCTATTGTTCATCCATTTAGGATCATTTTTGCTTGATCTGATTTCCCTAATAGGAACATAAGTTGTCTGAGCAGCTAGAACTATGCTCTGGAAAACGTCATATCGGCAATCACCACCACCTACCTGACCCATAGTCAGGCATTCCAGTTCACCCCACCCAAGTAATTTTTCAGTCCTATGAAATCAGCCAAGCGGAAGTCAGGGACAGAGACTTGATTGTCATTATTAGGGGAATTCCATGATATATTAAAACTGAGTGATTTGTGATCACTTTCCCCAAGTTCATCATTAACCTCAAGATTATTAATTAACGTTTCCCTGCTGGCAAGAACCAAGTCAAGCAGGTTATTTCCTCTAGTTGGCTCTGTCGCAAACTGTTTTAAAGAAACAATCCTGAACGTTTTCCAAAAACACTCCCCTGCCCATCAATTCCGTCAAACCCAAAGTAATTTTTAGTTTGAAATCCCACAATAAACAAACATTTTCTTATTGGGGATTCTGAATTTCCCCCCTGAAGTTTAACACTCCCCAAGTTATCTTAAAATCAATAAAATTTAAATTTTTTCCACGGCCTGGAGAACCGTAACCAGATTTCCTATTTGGCTTGTCAATTTTTAAAAAAAATAATCTTTCAAAAAAATTTTAAATTTCCGGGTTAAAATTGCTCCAAAACCTTAGTTAAAACCCCATTTAAAATTTTTGTTTTAGGCTTTAGAACATCAAGAAGTTTCCAACCTTTAAAGTTTTGGCCTTATTACCCCCCAAAATTATTGTTCCGCCTTGAAAACTTAACCAAATTCATTTTTTAATTTTCAATTATATATTTTTAACCTTAAAATTAGTCCTGTGTCCCCTTGCTTCCCCTTTAAAGTTGCCCCTGTCATTGGTATTTATAACTTGATAATGTCTTTTAAACATTACCTGTTTTAACCCTATTTTATGCAATAAATTTTTCACCACACAATTAATTTTAGCTTCTTACATTTTTAAAACCCTAGCATTTAGCCAAGAGCTACCCCCCCTGCCCCAGTGGAGTACCCATTTTTTATTTAAAACCATATGTTTTTTATAAAATTTCCCCGTTTTCAATAATGGTTGCAACCTTAGATGTTACCACAATACCCAATCTTCCCAGAAACCCTTCTTTTCCCCAAAATCCCTTTTAGGCAAGAGCTCCCATGAGGGACCCCATCCCTTGAACAAAATTTCCAAAAAGTTGACCTTGTAATAATTGAGCCTTTCCCTTTTCCTATTTCCCCCAAAATTTCAACCAAGCCTGAGACAAACCATAAAATTGCCCCCCTTTTACAGTTGTTATGTTTTTGGGGCCCTCCTTGACTTAAAAACCCTAAACTACTACTTAGGATCAGAGCCTTTCCATTTTCAAGACCTTCACCAAGAAAACCCGGAACAAAAGTGTAATACTTATTTTTTGTTTTGTAATGTTATAAAATAAATAATATAAATAATATTTTAATAAATTATTAAATAATTAAATATATATGTAATGTTATATTTAAAAAATATATATATATATATATATATATATATATATATATATATATTATATATATATATATATATTATATATTTGCGCCACTAAGTCTATTTTGAAATAAACACGAAATTTCAATATCTTTTAATATTATTATTGTTATATTCGTAGAAAGCCAAAAACCCAAGTGGGGAATGGAAGGTAATGAGATTTCATACAAGTTTAAGGACGATAACTGTCCATCCCAATACCAGCACCAGTACAACCTGTACCAGCACTAGTACCACCTGTACCAGCACCAGTACCACCTGTACCAGCACTAGCACCACCCATACCAGCACTAGTACCACCTGTACTAGTACTATTACCACCTGTACCAGCACCAGTGCCACCTGTACCAGCACCAGTATCAGCACCAGTACCAGCACCGTCGCCAGCACTGCGATGAAGGTTCTTGAAGGCTTCTAATGGAACAGATGGAGTTATACATACCTTAAATAATTAAAATTTTTTTAGAAAATTTTCACAGTGCTGCCAGACGGATTCATGTCCACAGATGAGCAATCCACAGTAATAATTCACATCTGATTCATTATTTGGAGATGAATCTTCAGATGCCGTTACGGAGTTCTTACGTTGGGGCGGCAGCAGCCGCAACAACAGCAGCAGCGTGGGTGTGTGTGTTGCATGCCACCTTCCTGACGTGAGTCTCTGGATTGTGTGGTCCACGGCTCCAGGCCCATCCAGCCTTGTAGTACCGAAGTCTTCCACAAAGACTAGTATACAGAACAAACCTTTATTTGGGCAATGTTTCACGTAAAACTGTTTTAAGTTATAACTTGAGAAAGCACTTCTTAGAACGACATGTTGTGTAAGTAAAGATGTGCTCTCATACTATCGGGGTTTCGACCGTCACACCTGCAAAAGTCTTATTTACATGCAGATATAACAAAAGAATTCTTATATGTATTATGATTGTTAACACACTTGGAACGTTCTGTTATCTCTCCTTTTTCTTTTGGTCTGGCTCTAATGTTACTGCTCGTCTCTCTCTCTCCTCCATCATTCACTTGTTGTTTTCTTCCATCATGTTGCTGAGGTTCAACACAGATATTAAGACCACATTCTCGCCTCGTACGAACAGCTGATTGACATGTCGCTTCCTGATCTCCCTCTTCATCCTCTTCCTCACCCTCTTCTTCTTTGCCTTTCCCTCACCTTCCCTCTGCTCCTCCTCCTCCTCCTCCCTTGCTTTCTTCTCTTGCGTGTTGCCTCGTCCAAGCTGGAGTGTGCGGGCATCGCGGCTATCACTGGTGTCGGGGTGTTGTGTTGTCACTCTGACGGACAATCTGGCTCTCAGATCCATGGCTTCCAGACTGCTCATCCTCTTGCTACTGCTGCTTCCAATCACGCGTCTTCCACTCCCGTCAACGTCTGGATCCGCTCCACTGAGTCCACGGCTAGTTTCGCGTCCTCTTCGCGTGTCTGGACCCGCTCCAGCGAGTCCGCTGGACGTTCCAGCGCCCAAGTGTCTTAGTGTAGAGTCCGATTCTTCCCTGCTACTCACTAGTGTTTGGTGATCGAGCTCTCTGCCAGTAATGCCCGAGAAGCCTGTGTGTTGATCTTCAGCACCGCCACAGCTCTTGCTCTTGGACTCTCGGGAGTCATCACTGGAGTCGCTGTCTGAATCACGGATACTCAGATCACCCACCTTGACGAACTGACTCACGTCACCTACAAGGAGACAAATGAAATTAGAATGCATGTGTATATGAGGAAGGAGAAAGAGAGAGAGAGTGGTGTGCTACGACCATGGGGAGGGGAAGGGGAAGACTTGCGTCTACAAGGTACACTGCAGTCATGGCTCCCATGATAAGTCCACTCCCTCGTGCTTTCATGTTATCGCTCCTTCCACAAAGTATTCTAAGTACTTTGAGACGTTTTTGCTATTTATTATTATTACTATTATTATTATTATTATTATTATTGGGTAGCGCTAAATAACGTTTAGACAGCGGATGGGAAGGGAATTCAGTTAAGTTCGATCCAATGGAAAGTTTCGGGTGGTCCAGCAACCCCAGGTGGTCACGTCACTGGGGTGGTCCAGCAACCCCAGGTGGTCACGTCACTGGGGTGGTCCAGCAACCCCAGGTGGTCACGTCACTGGGGTGGTCCAGCAACCCCAGGTGGTCACGTCACTGGGGTGGTCCAGCAAACCCAGGTGGTCAGTCACTGGGGTGGTCCAGGGGAACCCCAGGTGGTCACGTCACGGGGTGGTCCCGGCAACCCAGGTGGTCACGTCACTTGGTTGGTCCAGCAAGCCCCAGGTGGTCACGTCACTGGGGTGGTCCACAACCCCAGGTGGGTCACGTCACTGGTGGTCCAGCAACCCCAGGTGGTCACTCACTGGGGTGGTCCAGCAACCCCCGGTGGTCAGTCATGGGTGGTCCCAGCAACCCCAGGTGGTCACGTCACTGGGGTGGTCCAGCAACCCCAGGTGGTCACTCACTGGGGTGGTTTCCCGCAACCCCAGGTGGTCCCCGTCACTGGGTGGTCCAGCAACCCCAGGTGGTCACACGTCACTGGGGTGGCCAGCAACCCCAGGTGGTCACGTCACTGGGGTGGTCCAGCAACCCCAGTGGTCACTCACTGGGGTGGTCCAGCAACCCCAGGTGGTCACTCACTGGGGTGTCCAGCAACCAGGTGGTCACGTCACTGGGTGGTCCAACCCCAGGTGGTCACGTCACTGGGTGGTCCAGCAAACCCCCGGTGGTCACGTCACTGGGGTGGTCCAGCAACCCCAGTGGTCACTCACTGGGGTGGGCCAGCAACCCCAGGTGGTCACGTCACTGGGGTGGGGCCAGCAAAACCCGGGTCACTCACTGGGGTGGTCCAGAACCCCAGGGTCATCACTGGGGTGGTCCAGCAACCCCAGGTGGTCACGTCACTGGGGTGGTCCAGCAACCCCAGGTGGTCACGTCACTGGGTGGTCCAGCAACCCCAGGTGGTCACGTCACTGGGGTGGTCCAGCAACCCCAGGTGGTCACGTCCACTGGGGTGGTCCAGCAACCCCAGGGGGTCACGTCACTGGGGTGGTCCAGCAACCCCAGGTGGTCACGTCACTGGGGTGGTCCAGCAACCCCAGGTGGTCACGTCACTGGGGTGGTCCAGCAACCCCAGGTGGTCACGTCACTGGGGTGGTCCAGCAACCCCAGGTGGTCACGTCACTGGGGTGGTCCAGCAATCCCAGGTGGTCACGTCACTGGGGGTGGTCCAGCAACCCCAGGTGGTCACGTCACTGGGGTGGTCCAGCAACCCCAGGTGGTCACGTCACTGGGGTGGTCCAGCAACCCCAGGTGGTCACGTCACTGGGGTGGTCCAGCAACCCCAGGTGGTCACGTCACTGGGGTGGTCCCAACAACCCCAGGTGGTCACGTCACTGGGGTGGTCCAGCAACCCCAGGTGGTCACGTCACTGGGGTGGTCCAGCAACCCCAGGTGGTCACGTCACTGGGGTGGTTCAACAACCCCAGGTGGTCACGTCACTGGGGTGGTCCAGCAACCCCAGGTGGTCACGTCACTGGGGTGGTCCAACAACCCCAGGTGGTCACGTCACTTGGGTTGTCCAGCATCCTCAGGTGGTCACGTCACTGGGGTGGTCCAGCAACCTCAGGTGGTCACGCCACTGGGGTGGTCCAGCAACCCCAGGTGGTCACGTCACTGGGGTAGTCCAACAACCCCAGGTGGTCACGTCACTGGGGTGGTCCAGCAACCCCAGGTGGTCACGTCACTGGGGTGGTCCAGCAACCCCAGGTGGTCACGTCACTGGGGTGGTCCAGCAACCCCAGGTGGTCACGTCACTGGGGTGGTCCAGCAACCACAGGTGGTCACGTCACTGGGGTGGTCCAGCAACCCCAGGTGGTCACGTCACTGGGGTAGTCCAACAACCCCAGGTGGTCACGTCACTGGGGTGTCCAGCACCCCAGGTGGTCACGTCACTGGGGTGGTCCAGCAACCCCAGGTGGTCACGTCACTGGGGTGGTCCAGCAACCCCAGGTGGTCACGTCACTGGGGTGGTCCAGCAACCCCAGGTGGTCACGTCACTGGGGTGGTCCAGCAACCCCAGGTGGTCATGTATGTTTTAAGATCCTCTTATTTCCAAAGGGATTCACTCAGTCTTTAACTTAAACAAGGACTGGAAGGGAAGTTGTGGCCTTGGTGACTTGAGAATATATAGAGAGGGAGGAAGCATGTTAAGCGTCGTAAATAAAGAGGGAGGAGTGTAGAGAGATGGTAGAGCAGGGGAAGTGGAGGGAAAGAGAGGAGGAAGGGTAGGAAGGCATATCACCATCTACGCTACAATCACCAGGAACCAAGATAACAGCAGCAGCTTCAGTGAAGGTGGATACTCTTGGTGTTTAGATTCCAAAATGATCTCACGTAGAGAACCTCATTCAGGGTGTTAGTTGCACCTTGGGTACTGGTAGTGGTGGCTCAGTGCTACCTTGCACCTGTCTGGGCGTGCAGGGGGGAGGCAGGTGTGGCACTTACAAAGTTACTGAAGTGACCACAAAACCGTAACTACAGAGGGAAACAAGTAACTAGAAGTTGCTTGGTTGGAAAGTGAGAAGGGAAAGTGGAGGGAGGGAGGAAGAGAGAAAGTGGAGGGGAGAGAGAGAGAGAGAGAGAGAGAGAGAGAGAGAGAGAGAGAGAGAGAGAGAGAAAGGGAAAAAGGAGAAAGGGAGGGTTTCTTAAAGTGTCTGGTATTTTATATTCATTAATAAGATATCTTGACATATCACATAGGTTATTATACTACTTATCTCTGATAGGTAAGACATATTTAACGGTTGGGTATCTTGATTCCGAAACGTTTCGCTTACACAGTAGACTTCTTCAGTCGAATAAGGAAGAGTGAGCAGCAGCAGTAGAGATGTAAAAACGAAGTAATCAGTTCATCATCCTTGAAGACGTAGTTTTGAGGTGATCAGTCCCTCAGCCTGGCTGAGGGACTGATCACCACATATTTTGCATTTAGTTTGATCATTATCTGTGTCATCCAGACTCCCGGAAGTACTTGTAATTAAACCTAAGTGGCTACATGAACATCACTTAGTCTGTTCACATTGCAAGTTGCTCCACGAAAGGGAGGGAGAAAAGAAAAAGGAATGAAGAAAGAGAAGGGGGCTGGGGAGAAGAGAAAGAGAGGCATGGAACCCTCTGTCTTCTGTAATTATGACAAAAAATCCACCGACACAGAGGCATGAAAATTACAGACTGATGGAGTTAGTTAACATTCCCTCATCATACAGTGTGTACGCGTATAGAGGAAGCGTGTTTGCAAACTCGCTTCCTCTGAACGTATTTGCCTGGAATTCCTCTTTTTTTATGCAACACTGCAAGCTCCTGATGTGTTGATTGCAACACGAAAGGCCTAGAGCTATCATTCAACTCCCCCCATGGTTGTTTTGCATCGCTTGTTCGCGATTATTGCATTTTATATGTAGGCTACATACCGTGCCGTATATATGTAGGCTACATACCGTGCCGTATATATGTAGGCTACATACCGTGCCGTATATATGTAGGCTACATACCGTGCCGTACAGGTAAAATTGGTCAATTAGAAAGAACGCGTTTAAAATCAAGTCCTTTCTAAAAATTTCTTTTATACGTTTATAGATATATATTTTTTAATTTATGTTTATGTAAAAATTAATAATTTTGTATCAAAAGCACCTTAGAAAACTTACCTAACCTTATTATAACAAACGCAATTTAATTTGGCCTAATTCAACTAAATATATTTTAGATAAGTTTACAATAATTTAATAATAAACAAACACCATGAAATATATTTTTTTTCGTTAGGTTCAGAATGATTTTGCGAAATTATTGCATACACATAATATTGCTTGCCTTATTCGGCAAGAAGAGCGTTACTATTTAAGCCAAAATCGCAAGTTTTTTACCTATTCGGCACATTATATAATATATATATATATATATATATATATAATATTATATATATATATATATATATATATATATATATATATATATATATATATGTCGTGCCGAATAGGCAGAACTTGCGATCTTGGCTTAAATAGCAACGCTCATCTTGCCATATAGGACAAGTGAAAATTTGTGTATGCAATAATTTCGCCAAAATCATTCTGAACCTAACTAAAAAAAAAAATATTTCACTGTGTTTGTTTAGTATTTAATTATTGTAAACAAATCTAAAATATTGGGTTAGGCTAAAATAAATTGCGCTTGCTATAATAAGGTTAGGTAAGTTTTCTAAGTTCCTTTTGGTACAAAATTATAAATATTTACATCAACATTAATGAAAAAAATATATCTTTAAACGTATAAAAGAAAATTTTAGAAAGGACTTAATTTTAAATGAGTTCTTGCTAATTGACCAGTTTTACATATTCGGCACGACATATATATATATATATATATAAAATATATATATATAATATAAAATAATATATATATATATATATTATATATATATTACATACATACATACATAACAATGGTTAAGCATTTTCGTTGTCCACTGCATGTGGCAGGATTTGATGAAATAACTTCGAAAACCAGCCTGGTGCCTCGGGTAACATTGTCTAGCTTAGGCTAGGCGCCCATACTTATTCTGGGGTCTGGCTCCATGGTAAAGTACTGTGTACTCTGATGCAGAGTTTGCAGGTTCGAGTCCTGCTG